CACATCAATATAGATTCAGCCCATCGATAGAACCTAAATATCTCGCATATCCATACATAATTCCACATCGACTGATATCCTTAACATGATGCTTCGCACTAAATGGAAACATTTCACAGCATGAGTGTGGCGTGGCGACTTAACAGTTTATATGGAGTGGTCCATTTAAATCCATGTACCACTGCTGAAGCTTATCCATTCACAATTATGCCATTCTTCACTCGAACTTCGCTTCGCGACAGAGTTGGAATCAGCAGGGTGGTGTTAGCTGTCCTACGGCCAGCCCAGCGACTGCGGCCACCCGGATCTCCGGACCTAACATCCCGTGACACATCTGTGTATAACAGGCCGTGAAGGCCAATAGGGTTGTGAGACGTCGAGGGTCCCACATTATCTAAACAATGGACTCACAGATGGTGAGGTTGTCGGCCTTACGCGCCTGCCGCCCTTTTCCCCCCCCCCCCATGAAAATTCCGGGTGCTCATTTGGGTTAGAGGCTGAGTCAATCCCAGGGCCATAGTGCGGTTGGAAGGATTAGGTCAATTGAAAAAAAATCCATAACCTCATCGGTAACTTAACCCGCGACCTTCCGGCTTCTAGCACTGTGCCTCAGCCAACTACGCTACCGCGTGCAGTGACACAGCTGTGTGCATTTCTTAAAGAATGCGTTCCGCTTGTAACAGCAAGTGAATGTTGAAATTCCATCGCCACGTCGAGGCGGAAACTGCTACTCATGTTTCTCTCAATACGGCTAAAAGGGTTGATGTATGTAATGAAGCACACTTTCGGCGTGTTTTATGAACACTCATTTGTGTTTCACATGCAGTGAGATATTAAAGTTAGTGCTTTTATTTGGGTACGATTTGCAATGGGCCACTGCATAGGAGAAGCCAGTCAGTTATGTGAAGACCGCTTGGCATATCCTTCCTACGCCCACCTATTGCCGAAGTTCAGAACTGACAGAGAAGTCTCACGCGGCCCCTTATACGTCCTCTTTAGACACAAATGAAGCCGTTTAACTCATCTGCAGCTATAAAAATGCAAACCACAGAACGCTGCTCCTTATTTCCACAGACGTGAATTCAAGATATAATGACCACTGCAGGGCACAAGACTGGGTACATGTTGTGGTCGCTTTATGCTCTAAACTTTGAACTACCTACAGCCCTATCCACACGAAAAGCTACTGTACGTAATAACAAAAGTGTTTAATATAAGGTAATTAATGTACATTTTAATGAATTTCCAACTATTCTGGGCACATTTTCTGACGCAGGCACACGAAATATCGGAAACTGAGACTGGTTATGCTTCTGGTCGCCCGTGTGTTCAGATCCTGCACTCCTGACACACCTGCTGCGGTGGGAAACAGCAGAGACGATCCATTCTAGCATCCTACGCTATTAGAATAGCGGAAATCTGTCAGAAGCACTAACATATGTGAAGGCCATTATACTGTACTTTCGTGCTCATCTTCAACAGCCCATCATAAAAACCACTGAGCGTATTTTTCATGCATGATAATTTCCTTTCACTTATAAATTTCAGAGCGTGGATGATGTAAGCGTGCATACGTGTATGTAGGTCTACACTGGAGAAGATAAACACGATGCGTAGTGAACCCCCCGCCCCGCCCCCAGCAAGCTGGCCGATCGATACAGTGTTCCCAAAAGGGACAGAGTTGCGAACTTTCATTGGAATCTGTCAGATGAGGCCCCAACTACCCTGTCGACTTCCCCCTTAAAGCACAGTGGTTACTATACTCCTCTTGCACCACCTGCTTTAACATCACAGAAAGCGTAACTGTGAGTTCTGTATGATCTCAGACGCCGATCAGTGGAAAGCGAGCGGTCTAAGGCATGAACTGTCTTCGACCGCTCAAACACTGGGATCGTGGGTTCGAATCACACTTCAGGCGTTTATTCTACGTTTGTGGTGCAGGTAGCGGCCTTGCGATGGACTGATCCGCCGTCCAAGGAGTCCTACTGACCGTGTAAAAATGATAAAAAGGAACTGAGAAAGCTCCCAAGGTCTATCAAAGGGTTGTACAGCCACAGAGCACCGACTAGTTGGTCTTTGCGAAGCGACTGTCAGATTTGTAAGTTGGCCCGGCGGTAACTAGCTTCTGGGATGTGATGCCGTGTAGTCTGGTAGACGTCTGCCTCCATCTTCAGGCCGGAAGAGGAAGCCTAGCAAGCAGAGCGTAATGTCTGTAAACTTCTACTAGACTACACGGCGTCATATCCCACAAAATATGCACTCTTCTGAGAAGCATCGTGTTTTCTGTGAGGTATGAACTGAGTTTTTAAATACTTCGTTGAAGTTGTAGGGTTGTCAGCCTTACACGTCGGCCGCCCTTTAAACCCCAGCAAGACTCCTGCGTACTCATTTCTGTTAGAGCCTGAGTCGACCACAGGGCTATAGTGACACTGGGAGTCGAACCCACGGCCTTCTGTCTTGTAGCATTGTGCTTATGAGAGTTTGTGTTTGCAACCTGCCCTGTATTAATGCAGCTATAACTGTCTTTCTATACGTCAAAACAACAAAATATAGGGAAAACAATTCATTGTTATGGCACGACACTTTCATGTGGTCACAGTTTACAAATAAAAATCTAAATTTACTCAAATGGTAATTCTATTAAAATAAACTGGGATTGGATCCAATTTTACAGTGCCGTTATTAACATGACGTTAGTTGTCAATATTATATACAATTAAAATTAAGGTGTCTTGTATTTCGCAATCTCTTTATCACCAAAGCATGCAGCTACAGACACACTGTAGAGCACTGTTACCGATAAGAGTGACCAGGCTGATGAGTTCGAAATTGTGTGTTGTTGTTTTATGCTGACGTTTTTGGCGTGCACTTCCTTCTGACTGTCTGGGTATTAATGCTTCTATGCGGTGGCTAATAGGCAGTTACAAGCTGTGTAGCTGGTTGAGGCACTATGCTACAAGAGGGAAGGTCGCGGGTTCGATTACCCATCAGGTCACTGTAATTTTCAACTGACCTAATCCTTCCAGCCGCACTATGGCACTGGGGTTGACTCAGCCTCTAACAGAAATGAGTACCAGGAATCTTCGGGGGGGAGGATAAGAGGCTGCTGGCCAGCGCGTAATGCTGACAGCCTCAGCGCCATCTGTGAGCCGAATGTCTAGAAAATGTGGGATCCTCGACGTCTCACAACCCTATGGACCCCCACGGCCTGTTACAGGGACAGCTTGATATTTTCTTGATAGGTACTTTAGCGATTGTGTGCGTTAGATTCTTTAGTAGAGTTTTTTTTATTGCTAGTGGGGTGGGACTAAGTTCCTTGTACTGCGGCCACTTCTGGCCTATTGTACCAGCCCAAGATGATAGGTGAGGGTGATTGTGGAGCAGTTGGTGGAATGAAGATTGGCAGGGGAAACCGAAGTACTCGGAGAAAACCTGCCCCTATCAGTTCTTTTCCGTCCCTTCTATGGTCCTAACCCGGTTGGTGGTTATGTGCCGGTACCAGGCACGTCGTGTAGCTTGTCTAAGTCTTGCGAACTGACTGCGGTGTGTAAGTAGTGCGTCTTCAAGAAGGCGTCATCTTCAGATAGTGACGTAAATCGGAACAGTATAATTCCACTCAATTCTGTTTTCAAATACGAATAAAACAATACCGCCACGAAGCAGATCTGGTTGCACACGCTCTCTCGCCTTTCCCGCAAGGCTGCCTACTCCAGGTATCACGTACCCTCAAAGATCTTTGACTAACGACACCTCGTTCAAGCCTCAGAACGAATACAGTTTCACCCTGACGCCCCCTATACGCCCTCACAATGAGGTAAAACCTCATCCGTCTTAACATCATATCGATTGGGATCCTGTCTCGGTCTTAACTCCCTACTCTCCCGCTAGAGGTCTCCGTTTCAGGTGCAACAGGAACACGTGTTCTGGACCTCTCTTTCTAGAAGCGCCTCCACGAACCGCCCACTCGCCAGGAGAAACTTAACAGACGCCAATGGCGAACATATTCGACGAATTTGTGGCCAGTGAATTTTAGTAGTAATTCTGCAGTCTGCACAGTAGACATCTCCTGATGCAAGGAAATGCGTTGTTCTCCTAGTGACACTACACAGCTTAAGAGCTTTTTAGAATAACTTTCCTACAGAAATTGCAAACGGGGAGAAATTATGCGTTCAGGGGAGAAAGCGCATATTTAGAAGCTTGGGAGGGTGGCGGGGCTCTTTATTCCTATTTATTCCTTTGTATATAGTCACAATCCTGCCATGTTTAAGGGTCAGGGGTTGTAACGTCGTGTAGTTCGGAGCCGGCCGGACATTTCGGGGAAATATGTCGCCTCCATATTCAAGCAAACAACCGAAGCAAGAGGAAAGCTTAAAATGCCCAAAATACGCGACGCATAAATCGATTTTTTTGTTACCAGCTTGTGTGTTAACTTTGGAGAACTTACGGTTGCAAATACTAAGTTCTTTTCGCGAATTATTCGGAGAAACAAAATACTAATTCTATTCTGTGACACAGGATAGCGACTCAGGCGGTTAGTCTCCGGGTTCAACCCCAGACCAGGTCAAGTGGGATTTGTGGTGAACAAATTGACACTACGGCGGGTTTTCTCCGAGTGCTTTCGATTCGCCTACATATTCTCTTTCCACCAGCTGCTCAACACTCCGGGACTGGTACAGTAGGCCCGACAGCAGCCTGACTGTCTCACCCCATTCTACGAGGGGGGGGTTATGGGAACCTAACAGCAACCCCCCTCCCCCATACAATTACAGGAGTGTGGGTATGTTCGACTGTGTCGTCATTCATCTCTCCAAGGCAATGTCCCCTGCTGTGCGCCGTTAAACACAACGGATCCTCGACGCCTATTTATTGATTTCGCATCACATACATCCACTTGAATGAAAACAACACACACACACACACACACACACACACACACACACACACACATATATATATATATATATATATATCACAATATGGTCAAAATTTGGTTTGATTACCTGGTACTATCTGGAGCTCCGTCCAATTGACATGTTTGCCTTCTGTGGCCCCTCTGCTTATCTGCAATGACAAGAAATGAATAAATGAAGAAAGCCTGGATACTGTCGAGGGCGGCTGGCGCCAGGATTTAACATGATCTGTGAGAGCAAGAAAAGACGATACAGAGAAACAAATACAAAGAGTTGAAATATGGAACATCCGTGTCTGAAACTCCTGTCGGATGTAACATAACTGCACTAACCCTCTGTGCAGGTGAGGGAGATGCGGTCACGGGTGGTTCTGCCACCTTCCAACTCGGAACCTGTACTGTAGGAATATTTCTAGATGGAATTATCAGGGCGAGAATTAGTATATATGGGCGCAAACGGGAGTTCTCATCCGACGAACCGATCCTAATAGTACGTCCAGTTTACCGCATACGAAGAACACTGAATTCCTCCCTCCATGTGTGAAAGCACTACTACGTTCGCTCCGCGTCAGATGGAACGAGTTCGCGGGAAGGCCGATGGAGGCGCCACTTCATGGCTTCCATGTATGCTAACCGCAAAGTGTGATGACTGGTAGTTCAGCAGGTCATCGTCTCTTTCCAGAACTTTTCAAGCTCACAGCGTGCATGTCCTACGTACAAGAGTGGATCACGGTGAACTAAGCAAAGTGTGAACAAATGCTGATAATCATAACGATTTCGTTTTGAAATCTCTATGGGTTTTATGCTAGGCGCATGAAAAATAACCGGTTAATGATGTTCCGCATTAGAAGAGTTGTTTACCCCGAGGATCACACGAATCCCATAAACATCCCCAGTTAGCAACTACAGATTTTTTTCATTTTAGAGGAGGTCGCAAATACAGTACCCACTGTGATATATAAGGTTAAGACGAGAACATAATGTAAAGGCATCGGGATATGCAAGTAAAGTGCTGGTCGCAAATACGAACTGTGCTGTTCTGCCAGGAATTCTCACATCAAATTCCATCCAGTTTAACCATTCCTGAAACAACTGTTGAGCTGAGTAAAGAATTCCTTGCTCTTAACGTGTTTTCTGCTGCCTTGTTCCTACCCAACAGCAGTTTTCTACGCCCATACCGATTCCCAATGCGTGCTACATATCCTTGTTATCTCACCCTGGTCAGAAAATAATACAAACAGCTAATCTCCTCGTTATGAACTTTACTCAATTACAAATTCATGGCTCTTGGATACAAGTAAGTTATTTTCTGCGTTGTCAAGTATCTTGAGTCCCTGCTATCGTCAGCAATATGGTTTCTTACAATTAAGCCTAACTTCCCATGGCATCATCAGTGTACTCTACAAACTGTACTGCAAACTACCCACACAGACAGCAACCCCAGTGCTGCCTACTTAGCAAGGAACTTCCGCACTAACAGCCTGCCCGCCCACGGAATTTTGCGCGATGTTCTGAAAAGAGAGCCGGCAGGGGTGTACAACTTAGCGCGTACAGCCAACAGCTCCAAATTGCATACACTTAGCTAATATACTTGGGAGGCCTCACAGGAGCCGGTATGGGGGGTGTCGAGCTAGGCCCTTTGCCATGGAGCTCTAGAAAAAGTCAACACTGAAACAAGATATATATATATATATAAATGTGATGCTATCGATGTTTCAATATAGACACCCACAATTCAAGGGCGATACACACAAAAAAAAATATTCTTAATCGCTTAAACGTAAGTTAGCCAGCTATCTCTCTAGTTCCCCCCCACCCTCCAATACTAGAAAGATATCACATCCAGCCACTTCAGATTCCAGTAACAGCGCCTTTAAAGCATGCTGCCAGAACAGCAGTATTTTCAACAAACCCCTCTAAACGACAAGTTCACAGCAAATGAAACTGGTATGTTCCAGAGTCATAAATACAACATTACGCACAACAGAACAAAGTTTACGGTCTGGAGGTTGTTTGGCTTTGGTTCAGAACTGCGTCACTGAACGCCTCTGTGTCGTCACTATCACTCGTTAGTTCCTGCGCAGTATATTCCGTAACCTACGCGCAGGATCCCGGCAAACATCGCATTCTCAGCCACCAGAACGTTTCAGAAGAGGAAAGCAGTATGTTTATACCTTTCCCCCGCTCAAGCGACGGTGCTGCTTGTCCTTCCAGGCGCACCACAATCATCCTCGCCCTGGGAGCATTGTGGACTTTGCAGACTAAATGCCTGATCATCAGGGTGGCACGGTCCCAGCCACGTGCGAAGACACTACCGCCACGTTACCTGACCGGGGACCTTCTAGACAGCGCCCTCGCCGAGGTTGTTGAAACTAAGGAGCCAGGTCTTCCCCACACAGGTCATTGTGGAAGCGTTCCAACGCCTACACAACAGCCGTCAGTACTCTTCTCGAGTCACAGGGCGCTGCTCCAGTAAGTTACGACAAGCCCCTGGACCTTCCGCACACCTCCAAACACTACAGTACTCACATCCGTATTGCCTGACCGGAGGCATCCTACGGCGAAAGTCGCACAAAGGGATCCATCAAGGACTGGAAGGCAGTCTATGCTCCTTCCAAATCACTGTGTTTTCCATTAGTTGGGCCAGCTGGTTAGCCATATCCGCGAGACAATTATTAAACTCCGGTGCTAGGTACAACTATTATTATTATTATTATTATTATTATTTGTGGAGGGGGTGGGTTTCCCCATGCACCGCGACTAATAGTCTATTGTACGTCCCCCTTTGATATTCTACCAGTCGCCATGCCCTTCCAGTACTGGTGCTCGCTATCAGCCCCATCCTGCCAGCGAGGTCGGCCACCTCTCTGGCAGTGGTCCCCGATACTTCCCCATCTACCGGAGGAACTGGAAACTACTTGGGCGGGAAACTCTGCCTAATTTTGCTCAGAGGTCTCCTAGAGACATGAGGATATTTTACGTGCCGTAAATCTACGACACGGGACCCACGACTTAAAGTCCCTCCCGGAAGACTTGTTCCCTGAATTTTTCCGCCCTTCCACGACCTCCGCCGGGTTTGAACCCGCGTACCTTGAGTCACGAGGTGAGAATGTTACCCCTAGACTACGGAGGCCGCTTAGGTACAACTTTAATGTCCTGTGCGTACATTGACAAATTGGAAAGGGTCCGGAAGGAAGCGGTAGGGGAATAATCAAGGCACTAATCCCGGAATTTGCCTGGAGGAGCTGAGGAAAACCACGGAAAGTGTCAGTTAAGATAACCGACGACCCGGATGAAAATCGAACCCAGCAAGTTTCGAATACACGTATCAGGCCTCACCGTTTTGCCAACCTACACGGTAATGCTGTTTAGGGAAATAACAGATATTTACTATGACCTTACGAAACTCGTGAATACATTCTGAGGTCAAATTCATTTAACTTATACATTTCAACATTAGTTTCGTACCTCAGAAAAAACACACTGCGCCTCTATTACAAAGATGATCCAGTCCACACTGTTTAATCTGAGGACCATACGTGAGCCATAAATACGCTTTGTGAGCAAAATTTAGAGCTCTTGAACATCAAATCATATGGTATATATAGTTGTCATTTTGCTTTAAAAGGTTACGACGCCCTTTCATATTCTTCGTACCAGGCTATCCAACCGGGATCAGCACCCACATCAGCTCCTCAGCAAAGCTGCAGGCCCATATACGTTACAACTTCTGCTGAGGAAGGAGCGGCTCTAGTCACTTATGGTTGTCTCTCGTAAAGCCTGCAGCGTCTCTGGGCCCGTAGCCAGTCCTTCCGCAGAAACGATATGCCCCAGATAACACGCCTACTTCTGGGGCAGTTGAAAATTCTCGGCACTGAGTTTGAGGGACACCTTCCGCAAATTGTCGAACTTGCTCCGAGAACGTCCTACCGACAACTACAGTACGTTCAGTTAATGAGGAAACTTCGCAACACCGCTGACCCAGCCCAACATTCCTCACAGATTGCTGCTGTAACCGCTGATAGCAAAATGAGTCATTAGCGCTGATAAACGCGTGCCGTTATAGTTACAGCAGCGATCTGCGAGGAATATTGGGCCCGGTCAGCCGTGTTGCGAAGTTTCCTCCTTGATTGAACATCCTGTAAATCAACCAGTTACTCCAGGCACGCTTCGTAAATAAGACCCCACACGACGGATTCCATCAGGCGCTCGAGCGTTGGAGCCTTGCAAAGGCCAAAGGCATAACTGAAATGCCATAGCCACTGTCAGGTACCTTCCTATCCTTGTGGTTAGGGTGCACGGAAACTTCTCAGTAACCATTCTTCAAATCCAGAGTCGAGAACCACTTTCACCCAACAAGCATATGAAGTGTGTAGTCAATCCTGAATAGTACGAATAAATCATTTGTAACGTCACTGAGCGACCGGAAATAGCACAAGACTCCTTGAATACCCTTCGTCTTTCGTATTCATCATTATCGTGTCTACCTCAGCCTGTTTTGCCAGCAGAAGCCGACGCAGGAACTTAGATTGGGCGAGTGTCGACAGGGCGACAAAATCAACGTGTTCGCCCATATTCGTCTATCATATATGCGAAAATGTCGTGGAATTCCAGCACTATCTTCTCCAGCGCTAATGTTCTTCCTTGCGTCGGTTCACCGAGTCATCGAGTACCTAGAGTTTGAGGTTCCGAACTGCCAACGTGACAAGATCACAGTGGCTCAAGGTGGTGTCTTCGATCTGGGACGCCTTAAGACTCCTCTTCTAGGCACAGTCATAGCACGTTGCCTTTAAAAGCCATCACCGTGTCGTAGTTCCGCAGGACAACCAGTTCCAGGGTGAATCCGTCTGATATTTGCTACGAACATCGATATTATATCGCGCTCCACGTACGAGTCAGTTTCATCAGCGCCTTCTTCGAAGCGAGGAGTTTCTCGATGGACGCTCTCTGTAGAACGTACGGCCAACGTGGCTTCCTCTCGAGCAGTCCTGCTGTAATAACAGATATAGCGATGGTCACGTGGCACAATTTCTTCTCTATTCAGCCACCATCCATTATCGTCGCTTCTCCGGGGGGATGCTGACCTCGAAGGCACTTAGTTCTAGTCGGATTCTTTGTCGCAACTCTGTTGACCGTCTCTTCTGTGGCTCCG